CCTTCCTTCCTTCCTTCCTTCCTTCCTTCCTTCCTTCCTTCCTTCCTTCTCTCTCTCTCTCTCTTTCTTTCTTTTGATTTTTTGAGACAGGGTTTTTTGTATAATAGCTTTGGATGAACTAGAACTTGCTCTGTAGACCAGGCTGGCCTCAAACTCACAGAGATCTGACTGCCTCTGCTCTTGAGTGCTGGGATTAAAGGTGTGCACCAATGCCCCACTGTAATTTTTCTTTTTAGGATTTATTTTATTTGTATGTATGTGCCTATGTCTGCATGTGTGTAGGCACACATACATATGTACTCTCAGAGGCCAGAAAAGAGTGCAGGTGCTCATAGGGGCCAGAGAAGTTGGAGCAGGAGTTATAGCAGCTTGTGAGCTACTTGATGTAGGCACTAGGGACTGAAGTCTGATCTTTGGAAGAGAAGTATGTGCTCAGAACTGTAGCCATCTCTCCAGCCCCAAACAAATATATTTAAAGCTACTCTGCAGATTTTTGCAAAATAGCAATACAGAGAAAATAAAGCTACTGACATTTGGAGGTGAGAAACAGGATGTAACAGTTGCAATCAGGAAGGGGAGTCTAAGTTGAACTTTCTGTAATTTTGGCTTTAAAAATCATATATCGCTGAGTATAGTGCTGCATCTTTAGTCCCAGCGCCTAGACGGTAGAGGCAGGTGGATATCTGTGAGTTTGTGGCCAGCCTGGGCTATATAGTGAGTTCCAGGATAGCCAGAGCTACATAGTGAGACCTCCACCCCCACCAAAAAAGTCATATGTATATAAGAGATTAATTTTTATTTTATGTGCATGTTCTAGTTACTGTTGTATTGCTCTGAGGACACACCATGACCTAGACAATTTATAAAGTGTTGATTTGAGGGCTTGTTTACAGTTCAGAGGGTTAGAGTTCATAATCATCATGGTAGGAAGCATGGCTGAAGGCAGGCAGGCATGGTACTGGAACAGTAGCTGAGAACTTCTATCTGATCTTCAAGATGGAGGAACAGAGAGAGAGACTGGGCCTGGTGCAAACTTTTTTTTTTTTTAATTTATTTTGTGTATATGAATACTCTATCTGAATGTACACCTGCATGCCAGAAGAGGGCATCAGATCCCAGTATAGATGGTTGTGAACCAGCATGTGGTTGCTGGGAATTGGAACTCAGGACCTCTGGAAGAGCAGCCAATGCTATTAGCTGCTGAGCCATTTCTTCAGCCCTTCGTGTGGACTTTTTTAAAACCTCAAAGCCCAACCCCAGTGATAAATCTTCTCCAACTAGGCTGTACCTCCTAATCTTTCCTAAATAGTCTACCAACTGGGAACCAAACATTGAAATATATGAGCCTATAAGGACCATTTTCATTCAAACCACCACATTATTTGCTTGCTGTTGTTTTTAGCAAAATCTCAATCGTTCATTTTTTACTAGTAACGACTTGGGAGGCAGAAGCTTGGGTCAAAGCCTGCTGGTTCAGAGAGGCAGAGAACACCCAACTGACCTTCCTCCTCTGCTCAAAAGGAGTAAAGAAACCTCTTTCCCTGTGCCTTCTCAAAAAACAAAACAAACAAACAAAATCTCCCTCCCTTTTACTTCCTGAGTGTCTCCCTATCTGTCCGTCTGACTTCCTCTTACTCTGTCTGGTTTTTTTTCATGTTTACTTCTTGTCAGTTGGTTGCTTGCTCTGACTCATGGTTGACTTTATTTAACCCTGTTTACAATATTTAAGCAGAAAGCTATTGGATTAAAGGTATGTGTTAAGGCTGAGTCACACCACAACTGAAAACAGGTTTTTCCAGTAAATAATACAATCTTGAGGTTCACAGTGTGATCAAATATCCTGCAACAGCTGGATATGTGTGTATGTGTATCTATGTATTATGTATGTGCCTGGTGCCCATAGAGGCCAAAAAAGGTGTTTGATCTCTTGGAACTGGAGTTATAGGTAGTTGTAAGGCAACATGTGAGCTGTTGAACTGATCATGGGTCCTCTGCAAGAGTATCAAGAACGCTTAACTGCTGAGCCATCCCTCCAACCCCACTTTTGAATTATTTTAACATTTATATTCTTGGATATAAAATATTGAAGGCTGGGAAGAGACCATCAGTATTTTAAGTGAGTGTTATACTAAAGTAAGGTGAAAGAATTAGCCTAGGGAGCATTTGACCATGGTATGTTTTTATTTCTGTGTTTTGAGCCAGGGTCTTACTATGTTGCCCTGGCAGGACTTGAACTCCTAGGCTCCAATGACCCTCTTACCCCAGCTATCTGAAACTATAATAATGGGCATTACATTATGCCCATTTTTGGCTAGGGTGTTTAAACTGTTCCCTCTTAGTCTAAAGACAGATCCATTTGCTACAATTGGCCTTTAATTAGCATAGTTTTTTCCTGAGGAGATGTGGACAGTTCTGTTCTTTTCTGTTTGTACTGGGATTCAGCAAATGAGTAATATATGACAGTAACTAGAGAGTAACTTCACTAAGGAGAAGGAGAACCAGGCTTTTCAGTGTTTGAGAAGGAGGGTATATTACTTGTTGCTAGTGACAAAGTGCCTGACAGAATCAACTTAAGGATCTATTTTAACTTACAGTTTGAGGGTACAGATGGTGGCACACACTTAGTGAGGAAGACATGGTAGGAACAAGAGGTGACTTGTCACCTCCCCTTGTGTCCACAGTTAGGAGACAGATGGATATTGCTGTTGTACTTGCCTTCTTTTTATTTCAGCTAGAACCCTAGCCCGTGGGATGGTGCTGCCACATTCAGGATAGGTCTTCGGTCCTTAGTTGAACCTCCCAGGAAATGACCTCACAGACATGTCCACACATGTGTTTTCTAGGAAATTCTGTCAGGTTGACAAATCAGATTAACCACTCGGTTAAAATCCTGAGAGAAGCTGGAACTCATGCTTATAACCTCAGTATTTGGGAGGCAGGAATGAGTATTGTTATGAATCCCAGAACATCCTGGATTAAAGAATTAGGCTTTGTCTTAACAGAACAGGGGCCTGGGGAGATAGCTCAGTGGTTACAAAGTAAGTACTGTTCTTCCAGAGGACCTGAGTTCAGTTCTTAACACTTACATTAGGAAGCTTACAATTGCCTGTATTTCCAACTCCAGGGAATCCAACACCCACTTCTTGTAGAAAAAAGTAACTATTTATGTTTACTATTAATCCACAGAATTATTACAGCAGTCATTATTTAACTACTACCATATCAATAAAGACACAGACATTGGTAATATTTTTAAAAATTTTATTTTATGTGCATTGGTATTTAATCTGCATGTATGTCTGCATGAAGGTTTTGGATCATGGAGTTACAGACAGGCGTGAGCTACCATGGGGTGCTGGGAATTGAACCTGGGTCCATCTGGAAGAACAGTCAGTGTTCTTAACTGCTGAGCCATCTCTCCAACCCCACCTGATAGATTTTTAATATGCCTATACACTACAACTGGGCAGAAACTAACCTCCTTTTACCTCCCAGCCCTATATCCCATGCCATTTGCTCTAATCATTTCTGTCTGGGCTTTTTCCTGTCCAGTGTCCCATAAATACTTGCACATGCTTTCCATCTGGCTGCTTCTCTCCAGCCATGCTGATGCTCAGAGCAGGCTCCTCCAGGTCATGTGCTTCTCTCCACAATAACCAATGGTGGGTCTGCCTCTTCCTTCTCTCTCCCCTTTCCTGTCTTCTAAGCCTGTGAACCTTAGCTTCAATTATCTTACTTCTGCCCTTCCCAGGTGTAGGCATTTTTATTTAACCAATTAGGGATTATTTGGACGCAAGGTTACATAGTCAGCTTGTAAAACATTCAGAATTTAGGGAGTTGGAGGGCAAGCAATTAACATCTGAATACAAAGCACCAGACCATGCTGTAACATCTCCCCCTTTCTGTCTAATTTTAAAAGGCCATTTTTATAATAAATTATATATATAGTAAGAAAAAATATATAGTAAGAACAATTATGAAACAATCATAAAACTGTTATAAAAGAGTTACGTTTATTTGTATTTGGCAACCTTGAAGAAAATACAATCCTATCTTGGTGAGTTTAAAGTTCTGTACCTAAATCATTTTCTATCTTATATTGTATCTGTCAACCTAAAAACATCTCTCTAGACTTTAAAACATTTTCTTAATTCCTAAACGACTAAGCTTAATTGTAAGACTACAACTATTTGGTCTTCAACCCTATCAAGAGACTCGAGAAGGAATAACATTATTATCTGAGCAAGCAGGAAGTGTAGGCAAGCAGCTTCCAAAACTAATAAAAATGACAGAGACAATTTGCTGCCTGGACAGTCACCCAATACCTCTATAATGTTGGAGCATCATCTTCAGCCTTCTGGCTTAGTATATCTGACGGACATATTTGTGAAGCAAGAAGGACTTGCTTACCCTGTCATGGCAGAGCTAGGCAGTCAGCTCAGCCTATGTCCAAGTTTTGTCCATTTTCGCAAAGCATATTGTCTGTAGAGAGTATAGGGGCATTATCTTTTTGCCCAGTTGAAATAGACTCCAAATTGGAAGTCTTACGATGCTCATCATCTTTTTCCGAATGGATGGGGTGCTCTCAGGAACTGACGTGTCTAGTCAATAAATCCTTAAATTAATAAAAACATCTTTAAATGCCATATTCTGTAGGTCTCTGAGGTTTTTGAAGACCATGTATTTATCATTACGTAGTGCATATCATATTTCTGTCGATCTATGTCTGTCTGTCTGTCTGTCTGTCTATCTATCTATCTATCTATCTATCTATCTATCTATCTATTCACCTATTCATTTATCTATCGTAAATCTGAACAGGGAAGCGTTGCTTGTTTTTAGCTACTTACTGTTTACCTAGATGTTTATTTTGTGATAAGCTAGACTAGTGATTGACATGACTCTGAGTCTGATTAATTAATTATTAACTTGTATTTTTAAACTACCCCAAACAGTTTGTAATAGCAGCTTTTAAAAAGACTGGAAGTAAATCTTATATTATAATTAGTTTTATAGGCCCAATAACCTCATAGCAGAGTAGAAACATATATCTATATAAAAAAAATAACCTTAAATTTGAATTCTGTATACCAAGATTTATACCAGTGAAAACCTTAAATATCTATCAATGTACAATAACCTTGTTGGAAAATAATTAAAGCTCTAAGTTGAAATGTAAATTCAATAATTTACCTTTTGTATTATTATTCCTATAAGATAATCCTATAACTTCTGGTCTTTGCAAACATTGTGTTAACCTTCATAAACACAGACATATAATTTTAAAATAAATAAATAAATTAATTAAATCTTTTAAAAAACCAAACAGGGATAGGGATATAGCTCATATCGTAGAGTATTTGCCTTTCATTTATGAAGCCCTGGGTTTGATCTTTAACACTACATAAGCCAGGTATGATGGTACATGCTTGTAAATTTAGGACTTAAGAGGTGAAGGTGGATGAGGATGAGGAGTTCAGGGAAAGCCTGGAAGCGGGGAGGGAGGAGAGAGAATGCAAACTGGTGAAATGGCTGAGTAGGTAAAACTTGTTGCCATCCCTGAACTCATAGTGGAAGGAGAGGACTGACCTTGAGAAAGTTGTCCTCCAACCTGCACACACATGCTGTGGCGTTTGTATATCCACTCATGTAATCGCATAATATATTAATACATTTTGTTTTGTTTTGTTTTCTGAGACAGGGTCTTCCTATATAGCCCGGGCTAGTCTTGAACTTACTATATAGACCTTATTGGCCTTGAACTCACAGAGATCTACCTCTGCCTTCCAGGTGCTGGGATTAAAGGCATGTGCTATCAGGTCTGGCTATAAAAAATTTTTTGTAACAGAAAAAATCAGTATGAAAAAAGGTGAAGTGGAGGTGGCATTGGGCCTCAGTTTCAGAAGACCTTTCCACCCAAGAAGAATCAAAACTTAATAACAATTCCGGGAAACTTCCAGATGTAGACAGGCTAGGGAGCCAGGGTCTAGGGAAGAAAGGAGATGTCCAGGACATTACTGCCTCTGCAGTACATGAGAGTCTTCCAGTCATTCACTCACTTGCTCAAGACTGAATGTTCTAAGAAGGTCCACTTGGCTCTGTTTAGGTAACAGCTTGTTGTTTGGCTGTACTGGGGAAGGAGTGGGGATCTGACTGACTCTCTGGTAACAGATGTTATGAATGGCTTTTACTAAGGAATGTACTCCCACCAAGACTAAAAGGGAAAGAGGTAAACTATTTAAAAGGGATAAAGAAAGGGATGAGTCCCTAGCAAGACTTTAACCTATTGTCGCATTTATTATTATGAATGCTTTTATGTATGTTAGGATGCTAGTTGACTCTCATAAAACTGTGAACTGAGAGCAGTTATGTCTCTGGTGTTGTAAATTTTGCTAGAAGCCCAAAAGGGACAAATGTACTTCCTCAAGGATAGTGATGCATAATAGTCTAACTTACAGATCTGGTGGATCCCACTGGACCTCTTGCTTGACTTTTCTTACAGGTTATTCAAGGACAGGCTCAATCTCTCTGGCCCAAACTCAGGACCGCTTGATCTCTCTGAAGCGTATCAACTCAAGGCTAAAGTACGTAAGAGACTATATACTCCTCTTACTTTGCACACTTGATCTCCAGAGAACCCATAAATGTCACTGTCCTTTTGTGTTATGTGGCAGTGTTGTAGGTATCCCTTCTGAGATCATCACCCCGAAGAAAGTGGCTGAACTTCACCCTCTCCTCAATGTCCATGATCTGGTGGGGGCTATGCATGTTCCTGATGATGCAATAGTGTCCTCTGCTGATGTGGCTCTTGCCCTGGCAAGTGCTGCCTCCCAGAATGGTGAGCGGTCTTTGTGTATCAATTAGTTAACTAATTAATTCTAATTATTATTTGCATGGGTTTGGGAAGAAGAGAGTATCACAGTAGGTACCAACACCAGCTTAGGTATGGAGAAAGAAAGGTATGGGATTCAGTTTTCCAGTGTTGACCACGGCACTGCATTTTCCAATAGTATCCGCTGAATATTTTCCTCATCGTTAATTTTTTTCTTGTTCTAAAGAACTACTTGTGCTGATTAATGCATGTCAGACTTACGAGAGTCCTTGCCCCTGGATTTGAGAAGTGCCAAGGCTAGAGAAAAATTTGGGAGTTTAATCTACAGCTTAAATGTGACCTAGAGTGAATCAGAGAAAGACTTACATGTATTTTATGATTCATTATATGTTATATATAGTGCTGAGAATTGAACCCAGTACTTTGGGCATGCCAGACAGGTGAGTGTGTTTTTGTGTTTTTGAGATCAGGCTTCTGTGTAAGCCTTGGCTGTCCTGGACCAGGCTGGCTGCAAACTCACAGAGATCCACCTGCCTCTACCTCCCTGAGTGCTCGGATTACAGGTGTGCACCACCAAGTTGTTTTTTTTTTTTTAGTAGGGTTTCACAGACTGGCCTGAAACTTGGCATATAACCAAATCTCAGACTCAAAAGTGCTAAAATTATAGTTGTATGTCACTGTTCGTGCTGAGGTTTTGTTTTTAAATTAAAACACTGCAAGCTTCTTTAGTATCTCTTTAGAGTGGAGAATGAGTTTCAGTGACCTTAATTTTGTAACATCAAATAATTTGCCTTTTTCCCCCCCGAGACAGTGTGTATGTGTGTGTGTGTGTGTGTGTGTGCTTGTTGTAGCCTTGGCTGTCCTGGAACTCGCTCTGTAGACCAGGCTGGCCTAGAACTCACAGAAATTCTCTTGCTTTTGCCTCCTGAGTGCTGGGATTAGACATGCACAACCACTGCATGGCTGATAATTTGCTTTCTTTTTCTTTTATTTTGGAACAGGTGTTCAGATTTATGACCGGACAAGTGTTCTTCATGTATTGATCAAAAAAGGTCAAGTTACCGGTGTGGAGACAGATAAAGGACAGATTGAATGCCAATATTTTGTCAACTGTGCTGGTCAGGTAGGTTACCAGCAGTACTTGGTTTCTGACTTTATCTAACTTGGACTTTCTGCTGTGCAGATATAAGATTATCATTTTATTGGTTAAAGAGACACCAGGTACTACACTGCTTATTTGGACTGGGTAATCAGAATTGTATTCTATACCAGAAACCTACACTTAGTCCTCAGACACTGTACAGGCAGCTGCTGTAGCCTTTTTTTTTTCCACACTGAGTAAAGTAGTTCTGTCTTAATCAGAAGGCCACCAAATAGAATAGGCATCAACATGAATCCATTGTACAAACTCAAATAAAATACCGGAACCATGGATCTAATTTCTAGAATGTAAGCTGCTTCAACTTCTGAAGCAGATTGGTCATTTGCTTTCTACTCTGCAGTTTGAAGGGGCCTAGGAAATACTTTCTGTTAGGTAAAGTTTATTTAATAAGTGGCATTTGGGGTTTCTAGATGATGACCAGTCATTTTTATTTATAGGGCCTCATTTGACTGGGAACTCTATCTTCTTTTCATTGAAAAGATAATTTTATGATTTAAAAAGTACAGTGTTGCTTGCTATCCAAATTCTTTAACTAGATAAAGCAGGCTGAATGTGTCTTCCTGTACCTGACACTGTAGCAGGAGCAGTCAGAAGCCACTTGAAATTAGTTCAGTGGGCTGAACTTGCTCATTTGTGTTTCTGTTCCTCTTCCTACCTACAAACTGTCCATTGTAGTGGGCATATGAGCTGGGTCTGTCCAACGAGGAGCCGGTTAGTATCCCGCTACACGCCTGTGAACACTTCTACCTTCTGACTCATCCCTGCGACACCCCTCTGCAGAGCAACACACCAAGTGAGGACTTTACTTTCTCTTTTCTTTTTAAATAATTTTCTCCCCTTGCTAGTATTCTGTCCTTTGAAAGGAAGACTTTTCATTAAGGACACATTATGACTAGAGGACTTTTTTCTTTTCTGGAACATGTTACAGGGGGCGAATCCAATTCTGACTTTTCTTTCTTTGATTCCCCCCCCCTTTGTTTTTTTTTTTTTTTTTTAAATTTTTGAGGCAGGGTCTCTGTGTGTATGTAGCCTTGGCTGTCCTGGACTCGCTTTGTAGATCAGGATGACCTTGAACTCACAGATCATCCTACCTCTGCCTCCCTGAGTGCTGGGACACTGCACCTGGCTCTTTGATTACTTCTTAGGAAAAGATGGCCAAAATGAACACGCCATTAAGCCCCCCCTTTTTTTTTTCAAGCTAATTTTAATTCCTAATAGAAATCATTGAGAATTTGGAGTATAACTTTTCCATTTTTAACTTGAGTGGCATGCGTTGCACAAGTGCATAGGCAGGCCATACTTCAGTGGCTGAAAACTGCCAAAAGGAGAGGGTTGGGTTTATTTTTTTATTTTTATTTTTTAAAAGATTTATTTATTATTTATGCAGTATTTTGCCTGCATGTGAACCAGCAGGCCAGAAGAGGGCACCAGATCTCATTATAGATGGTTGTGAGCCACCGTGTGTTTGCTGGGAATTGGACTCAGGACCTTTGGAAGGATAGCCAGTGCTCTTAACCTCTGCACCATCTCTCCAGCCTGTGTGGGGTTTATTTTCTTTTATTCTATCTTTTGAGACAGGATCTCATTGTATAGTCCTGGCTGGCCTTGAATTCACTTTTGTGTTTATGGAGGCAGAGGCTGGCATGCTGAGCTTAGATGGGTTTTGATCCCTTTTCAGAGAATGAACTTTGAACCTCCAGGAAGGGAGATTAGACTTTGGCCAGGCACAGTGGTAGTATAGTTTAGTTGTGAGGGTTGGCCTTTAGGTTCCTGGTAATTTTGGGGATAATTGGAGAGACAATTTGATCTGTAATCTTGAGTGGGAAGGTCCTTATACATGACCTCCAATGGTATTTTAAGACTAGTGGATGCTGTGCTGTTGGTAAAGCCATTTGTAAATGTTTTCCCATCTAGGAATCTGGCTGGTCTCTGACTTCTTGTTTTTCTCTTCATCGCACTTCCTTCTTCCTTGTCATTTCTCTTCTTCAGCTATTGTGGATGCTGATGGAAGGATTTACATTAGGAACTGGCAGGGTGGCATCTTGTCTGGTGGCTTTGAAAAGAACCCAAAACCTATTTTCACTGAAGGCAAGAACCAGTTGGAAATTCAGAACCTTCGGGAAGATTGGGATCACTTTGGTATGTGAAGTAATTATAACAACAATGCCTTCTACTTATCTAAAATGTTGTATTTTTCAAGGCATTTTCATGAGTAGTTTTTTATTTATCTTTAAGACAACTCAGGAAGTACAGTAGCAATCCTGAAGAACAGTCGAGCGTTTGCTTGACCTAAGGCTATGGCTGCTGGTTAGATTCAGGGGGCTATGGTCTTAATGAACTTGACTTATTTACTTAAATCACCGCTGAAACTTTAGAAGGGGGACCTTCTTTTACAAAGACTTACTGAAATCGAAGATGTTTCTACAAAGCTGAACTACTAGCTGGGCTTGGTGATTATACCTGCTTGTAATCCCAGCTTATGGAAGGCTGAGGCAGGAGGAAGTAGATTATTTTTCTAATTATTACGTTTTTAAATAACTTTAATTGTCTTTATTAAAAATTATTGTAGTTACATGGTTATAAATTGAAAGGTTATGAAAAGATCTCCTAATTTTCTTCCATCTTTGATGGGCTTGTAAACAAGTAAACTGCTGCTTATAGGTTACCAAACCCTTTTACCCCTTAACCAGTTTACTCTTGTCTCTCTCTGTTACTGCTGTCCCATGGGATAGGAGCCAGAGGTAGTATAGAACAAGGTGTAAACCTGTTTTTACATCCATCTCGATGTAGGAAACGCTGTCTTTCATGGAAATGTTAGGTGGTATGTAAGTTCTTTTCCACACACCTTGACCCCTTTGAGGTTACTGTCTGTAGCCTCGTGTTACTTTTTGTTCTGTGGCTCCTTGCCAGGCATTTTGCAGGTGTGTTCTGTAATTCTACCAAGTTCTCTTCTTTCTCATAACTGACCAAATGACTCTTAGAAAAAGATCCTGTAGAGTATTTTTTGAAAGGAAGAGTTAAAAAGTATAAGAACTTGAAAAAGTTTAATTCCCTAAAGGTGAGGACTCTGTTTGGGTTTGTTTTGATTGCTCAGAGCCCCTGTTGAGTTCCCTTCTGCGTAGGATGCCAGTATTGGAGACTCTGGAGATTTTGAAGTTGGTGAATTGCCCTGAGACCTTCACACCAGACATGAAGTGCATCATGGGCGAGTCTCCTGTAGTACAGGGCTACTTTGTCCTGGCAGGGATGAACTCTGCTGGCCTGTCGTTGGGTGGAGGAGCTGGAAAGTAAGTCTTTTTACATAGAGTCACCTGTGGACACCACAGCTTGCAGGTTCTTCCCTTTCAGATTAAGATTACCCATTGTGAATATGTTCTGTGACCAGAGAGCAATGTTAATAATAGTATATATTTGAGAGTTACTGAATAATATATTTTGGAAACTCAATCATTTAGTTAGCCACAGAACCTGTGGAAATTTTTTTTTTTAATTCTTCTCTTGTAACAAATGTTAGTGTTTTGATTGTGTAAGGTTAGAAGTAACCAGCTATGCTAAGTGAAAGAGGCAATCAAGCAAGGCAATTAGATTTAGTTTAAACACAGGTATTTACAAAAATTGGCTGGGGATAGTGTCACATGCTTTTAATCCTCACTGGGGAGGGCAGAGGCAGGTAGATCTCTGAATTTGAGGCCACTCTGGCCCATGAAGAGAGTTTTAGGCCAGCCAGGGCTACATGGTGAGACTGTTTCAAAAATAAAAAGAAATAAGCCAGTCACAGAAATATACAAATACTGTACACTTCCATTTATGTGGTACTTTACTTAGTAGTCTTAGAAACATAAAGAAAAATAGTGGTTGCCAGGGTTTGGAAGAGAAGGTGGGGAGTTACTGTTAAATAGGTCTGGTGGTTCAGTTTTGCAAGATGAAATGAGCTCTGGAAATGGATTGTGATAGTGGTTACACAACAGTATAGATAGACTTAATTCCACTGAGCCACACACTTTAAAATAGTTGATCAGTTATCCTTGCTGTATGCATACAGTCCCAGCTTTTGGGAAGTAAAGGGCAGGATCAAGATCAGGTCATTTTCAGCATCATAGGACATCTTATTCTCAGGTTAAAAAAAAAGTTGATCATCTGGATATAGTGCCCCATGCCTGTAATCCTAACACTTAGGAGACTGATGGAGGAGGACTACAGTGAGTTTGAGGCCAGTCTGGACCACATAGTGATTTTTGCTTAGTTTGAGTTAAGAGTGAGAAACTGGGGCCTGGCATGGCGGTACATGCCTTTAATCACAGCACACAGGAATCAAAGGCAGGTAGATCCCTGTGAGTTTGAGGCCAGCCTGATCTACAAAGCAAATTCCAGGCCAGTCAGGGTTGTTACACAGAGAAACCCTGTCTGGAAAAAAACAGAACAAAAAGTGAGAAACTGTTTAAAAACAAAAACAACTTTCCCAAGAAAACTAATTTGAATTTTTATATACTAAAATATATTTGTCTATGTATTCTGTTAGTAAATAATGAAATAGACTTACCTATGATACATTTTGGCATACTTTTTTTTTTTTTTTTTTTTTTTGAGACAGGGTTTCTCCATGTAGCCTGGAACTCGCTTTGTAGACCACACTGACCTCAAATTCAAGAGATCCACCTGCTTATGCCTCCTGAGTGCTGGGATTAAAGAGGCATGCCACCACTGCCCAGCTCCTTTTTTTTTTTTTTTTTTTTTTAATGTAAAGAATTATTTATTTTTATTTTATGTGCATTGGTGTTTTGCCTGCATGTATGTCTGAGAGGGTGTCAAATCACTTGGCACTGGATTACAGACAGTTGTGAGCTGCCATGTGGATGTTAGGAATTGAACTTGGTTCCTCTGGAAGAGCAGCTAGTGTTCTTAACTGCTGAGCCATCTCTCTAGCCCCTCTTTTAAAAAAGTTTTTATTTTTAACCTTGTGTATATGAGTGTGTGCACATGAATGTAGGTGTCTGTGGTGGTCAGGTGTTGAACCCCCTTGTTGGAGGTGAAATTTTAGGGTGGGTCCTGGGAATTGAATTGGGGACTTAAAAAAAGAGCAGTATGAGCTCTTAATTAGCTGAGCTGTCTTTCCAGCCCTCTAACTCTGTGTTTTTGATATGTGTAGGATAAATGAGTTAGCCTTTTTCTAATTGTCACAAAGCAACAATAAAAAAAAAAAAATCCAGAAATAAATATACCTGCTCTATCCAAAACTCTGCTCTTCAAGGATCAACTGTATTTTATCATAATTAAAGTATTTTTTCACCGAATTTGGGGAGCTCATGAGATGGCTGAATGGATGAAGGAGCTCTTTGCACAAGCCTGGTGACCTAAATTCAATTTCAGCAATCTATGTAAAGGCAAAGGGAGAGAGCTGATTCTACAAAATTATCCTCTGATCTTCACAAGTGCCAGCTCTAATCATATATAAACATACTCAGTAAATGAAAGGAAAAATTTAAATTCATGAATTCAGTATCTTTGAGTGACTTACCAAGTGGCTTTGAAGAGCTATCAGAACCATTTGGAGCAAAGACATGGTGTGGCGACTGTATAATACTGTCCCGATGACTGTTCATCAAAAAAAAATGAATACATACATTTCTTCATAGATATGACATATCTTAATGACTTTTTATTATTAGAGTTAAAATCTTTATAATGAGGCTGGAGAGATAGCTCAGCAGGTAAGAGCACACCAGCTCTTCCAAAGGACTTGGGGTTCAATTCCCAGCACCAACATGGCAACTCACAACCACCTGTAATTCCAGTCCCCGCAGTTCCTGGGATCTCTTCTGGCCTCTGCAAGTACCAGCTGTTTTACATGCACGCTAAACACCCATACATGTAAATTAAAAAAAAAAAAAATCCCCAAAAGTGGATATGGTTGCATTTGCTTGTAATCCCAGCACTTATGAAGCAAAGGCAGGCAGATCTCTCTGGGTGTGAGGCCAGCTTGGTCTACATAGTGAGGTCCAGGACAGCCAGGGCCTGTTTCAAGAAAAGAATTTCTATAGTGGTTCTGTAAGAACTGTACTTGGATCCATGTTTGTTCATGTTAGTAAATATAAGAAAATTGCCCAGAATTGCTCAAATTCTGTGACAGCACAGACCCTTGACTCCATTAGTTCTTTCTTGTATGATATTATTTGAATTGTTCTCTGTGTATCATCTGAGGCCCAGTAGCTTTTTGTCTCCATCTAAACAGGTTCCTTGCTGAATGGATGGTATATGGTTATCCATCTGAAAATGTCTGGGAACTCGACCTGCAGCGCTTTGGAGCCCTCCAGAGCAGCCGCACCTTTCTGCGCCATCGGGTCATGGAAGTTATGCGTAAGTATACTGTTCTTTTTATCAGTCAAGGTCTTCCTTAGCTCTGTATTTGAGTTGGTTTTCTTGTGTGTGGCAATTTCGGGTTTGAGGATAAGGATTCATGCCCCGTCTGGTGCTTAGGAGCAGGCAAGTAGAGCAGGACTTGCAGATCGCATGTTGCAGCTTCATGTGTGTTGCTGGCAACGCGTCCTTTTCAGTAGGTCAAGAGTGCTACGCTCAGCTTCCCACCTAGGTTGTGAAATCATTGGTAGGTTTTGTTTCTGAGATGGAGTCTCATAAAATCCAGGCTGTCTTTAATTTGCTATGTTGCCATGAACTCCTGATCTTCCTGTGTCTGTCTCCTAAGTGCTGGGAGTACAGGTGTGTGCCACCATTCCTTGGCTTCTCCTTTATTTTTATTTATTTTTTTCTTTTTGTGGTACTGAGGTTTGAGGGCCTCTTGCATGTTAGTTGGCAAATTCTCTACCCTATCACCAATAACCATTGTTTTCCTTTTTTTTCTAAAATTTTATTATATGTATTTTTGTGTCTGTTGTGTGGGTGTGGATACATGTATCACAGAGCAGGTGTGGGGGTCAGAGAACAACTTTGTTTCTCTTCCTCCCTTTATGTAGGGTTTCTAGGGATTGAACTCACTGTCTCTGGGAGAGTAGTTAGTGCTCTTATGCTAAGCCATTTCTCTAGCTCCAAAAATAAAATCTTGGAAAAAAAGAGAGAAATTAATTTGGATTTTAGCTTTGTTATGTGAATAATGTCACCTTTCAGATTTCAGAACCACCAAATGAAGGTATGCTACAAACCCTCTTTCTTCAGAAGAGGTTACATAGTGAAGGAAAAGTACATAAAACATGATGATCTCTGCAGCACAGCAAAGAATCAAGTGCCTTTTTTACACTTAAATTTTTTTGTTTTTATTTGAGAGGGGACCTCGATTTCCTGGAACTTGCTTTTGGACCAGGCTGACCTGCCTGCCTCTTCTAGGATTAAAGGCGTGCACTATCACTGCCTGGCCTTAAATTTTTACAAGCGCACGTCTGTGATCCCAGCACTCAGGGAGGCAGAGGCGGGTGGGTCTCTGTGAGTTCACGGCCAGCCTTGTCTGCAAAGTGAGTCCAGGATAGCCAAGGCTACACAGAAAAACCCTGTCTCAAAAATAAAAAAGAAAAAAATTATTTAAATATTTTATATGTATGAGTATTAGGCCTATGCACCACTTGCGTGCCTGATGCCCTTGGAGGCCAGAAGAGGACATTAGATCCCCTGGAACTGGAGTTAAGGACAATTGTGAGCCACCATGTGGGTTCTGGGAAATGAACCCAGGTCCTCTGGAAGGGCAGCCAGTGCTGAGACATTGCTCCAGTCCCCCCACCCTTCTCTTTTTATGGTCGTGGGAATTCAACCCAGAATCTCATGTATGCTAGGGAAGTGTGCCTCAGTCCTAGCCTTTGTCTTTGAGTTTTTGCTTTGAGATAGGGATGTAATAATTTGCTGCCCTAGTTGCTTTTCTATTGCTGTGAATAGACACCATTTAAGTTTCAGAGGTTAAGTCCATGACTATTATGGTGGAGAGCATGGTAACAGGCAGGCATGATTGGTACTAGAGCAATAGATGATTTTTATGTATAAGTTGGAGGAAGAGAGATAGATACTGGATCTGGTGTGGGCTTTTGAAACCTCTAAGCCCACCCCCAGTGACATACCTTCTTCAACAAGGCCACACCTCCTAATCCTTCCCAAAGCAGCTCTTTGGAAAGCAGCTGGGAGCCTAGCATTCAAATATATAAACCTAATATGAAGGCCATTTTAATCAAACCACCACAAGTTAGTTGCCCAGGCTTGGCTTGGCTGGAGTCTAGTTGGGATCCCAGGTAGTCTTTGAATTTGAAGTCCTTTTACTTTGGTCACCTACGTCTCTGGGATTATAAGCTTGTGTTGTCAGGCCCAGCTGACAGACTGTTTATCTGTGTAGCTCTGATATACGATCTGAAAGTTCCCCGTTGGGACTTCCAGACTGGGAGGCAGTTACGTACATCTCCTCTCTATGACCGGCTGGATGCTCAAGGAGCCAGATGGATGGAGAAACATGGATTTGAGAGACCAAAGTACTTCGTTCCACCTAACAAGGGTAAGAATGTGTCTGTATTTCAGGTTGGCTTTGAATCCTTATCAGCCCTCTTGTTTCAGCATCTCAAGGGCTGGGATTATGGGCATAAGCCACTACACTTGGCTTCGTGTGTGTGTGTGTGTGTGTGTGTGTGTGTGTTTGTGTGTATACATGTGTGCACCCTTGTATAGACCAGAGATTGATGTTGAGTGTTTTCTCTCTTCTCCACTTTTTAAGACAGATCTTCTCACTGAATCTGGAGTTCACTGACTGGCTAAATTGGCTGGCCATCAAGCCCACAGGATCCTCTTGTCCTTGCCCATTACTGCTGGGGTTATAGGGATTGCCACACCTAACTTTATATATCTATGTTGGGGACCAAACTCAAGTCCTCATGCTTCTATAGCTAGCACTTTAGCTACTGAACCAATTCCTCCTACCCCCTTCTTAAAAGTGGTAAATTTTAAGTGCATATAGCTAGAATGTGTTCCTGGAAGAATGAAAAATAAAATCTTGTTGGCCATAACAAAATATATGAGGGACTACTCAGTATCAAAAAGTCTTTTTATTTCCATCTTGTTTTTTCTTGTTTCATAGACCTTCTTGCATTGGAGCAGAGCAAGACTTTCTACAAGCCAGATTGGTTTGATATTGTGGAGTCTGAAGTCAAATGCTGTAAGGAAGCTGTGTGTGTCATTGACATGTCTTCTTTCACAAAATTTGAAATAACTGTAAGTATCTGAGAACCAAAACAGCAGGGTGGGAACATTTCCTACTTATTGAATGCTTGTCTGTCTTTTCTCCTTCCTTTCATGTATTTTTCATGTTTTTAATTTTACTTGTGTGTGGTTATTTTGCTTCAGTGTATGCCTGTGTGCCATATGCATGCAGGGCCTGCCGTGTGGGTACTGGGAGTTAACCCAGGTTCTTTGAAAGAACAGTCAGTGCTCTTAACCAATGAACTCTACCTCTCTAGACCCCCAATGTCTGTGGTTTTTTTGTTGTGTTTTGTTTTGTTTTTTTGAGACAGTTTCTCTGTGTGGCCTTTGCTGTCCTGGAACTCACTTCCTAGACCAGGCTAGCCTCCAACTGAGAGATCTGCCTGCCTCCTGGGTGCTAGCATTAAAGGCAAGTGCCACCAGCCCAGCAAAGATCATGTTTATGTATGAGTATTTTTTTGCTTATGTATCTGGACACCAGAAGAGGGCATCGTATCTCATGGGACTCTAGTTATGAGCTGCCCTGAGGATGCTGGGAATTGAACTCAAGATCTCTGTAAGAGCAGCTAATTCTCTCCAGCTCACAAATGCCTGTTTTTCATGCCACTTCAAAACTGATTCTGAAAGAATTCTATACTATTTCAGGGTTTTATCTATATAATCATATTTTTCTGAAATTTAGCTCCTATTTAATTTCCTTGGAAAGGTCCATTTATCTTAAGTACTGATGGTTAGCTTTTCTTGTGGCTTCTTACAGAAGGTAAACCTGCAAATAGTGACATGTGGGTGTTATATCATTGAGTTTCAGTAAGGTTTAGTGCTGCATGGTTATGCTGCTAGGTGCTCCTGTGTTTCCATTTCTTGCTTTGTCCCTTTCCGTGCAGTCTACTGGGGATCAGGCATTAGAAACTCTTCAGTACCTTTTCTCCAATGACCTGGATGTGCCCGTAGGCCACATTGTTCATACTGGTATGCTGAACGAGTATGGAGGGTATGAAAATGACTGTAGCATTGCACGCCTGAACAAACGCAGGTGAGTTGAGCTGCTGTCCCCTTCTGCTCCTTCTAATAAGCTGATACTTCCAGGCCTCTGAAAGCAGGGCCTTTAATACTTCTCTAGAGCCCACAGTCCTAGGGACCCAGAAACTATTTCATATACCCCTGTCTAAATCATTAGGTAGCTGTAAAGAAGCTGCAAAGGCAAAGAAAAAACTGAGGTTGGCTGTGGCAGCTCATACCTATAATGAAGCAGGTTTACCATAAGTTTGAGGCCAACACAAGTTCCTGGCCAGCTTTGACTATAAAGTGAGACTCACTCTGTCTAAAAACATAAAACAAAAGCAGAAGAAGTTGTACTATGTAAAACTTGGTGTAGAAGTTAGTTATCTTGGGGGCCTGGAGAGATGGCTCAGAGGTTAAGAGTGCTACTGCTGGCCGCTCTTCCAGAGGTCCTGAGTTCAATTCCCAGCAACCACATGGTGCCTTACAACCATCTACAATGAGATCTGGTACATGTGGGCAGAATATTGTGTATATAATAAATAAATAAGTCTTTTTAAAAATGTTATCCTAACAGAAGATTCTTTAAGAATGTTACTAAGTCTGTAATTTTGCCATTATTGGTATAGAATCTAGGATGAAATAGCCTCCCTCAAAGTTAAGAGATTGCTTCTAAGAGTTCTCAGTGGGGCTTTGAAACTACATGTTTGGTTCCTGATTGTTTTTCTGCCTTTTGGGTTTGATTAATTTGGGGTGTTCTTATTTTCAGTTTCTTCATGATCTCTCCAACTGACCAGCAGGTCCACTGTTGGGCCTGGCTTAACAAATACATGCCGAAAGACAGCAACTTGGTACTGGAGGATGTCACCTGGAAATATACAGGTAATCAGCCTTCTGGGGTCAGCCAAGTAAAGAAGCACATTCAGATTGTCTTCTACTTTACATATTCTTTGCTTATATTTGACTTTACAAGTGAGTGTCAGAATTAGTGTTGAAGAGACCCGCTGGGGCTGGAGTGATGGTTCAGCAGTTAGGAACACATTCTGCTCTTGTAGAGGAACAGGTTTCCATTCCCAGTACTCAGAGGGCAGCTCACAACTGCCTGTAATTCCAGTTCCAGGGCATCTGATGCCCTCTTTTGGCCTCTCTGTGCACCTGCATGTATGTGCATATACATTCATGAAGGCAATATACCTGTATACATAAAATAAAAATTAAAAAGTCTTTGGGGCTGGGAGAGATGGCTTAGTTAAGAGCACTGGCTGTTTTTCCAAGCACCCTGGTTCACTTAGTAGCATCCACATGGCAGCTCACTTCCAATGTTGTCTTCTGCCCTCCATGGGTAGTACCTACACAGATATATGCAAAACATCCATGAGCATAAAATAAAAATAAGCAAATCTTTATCCCTTCACTAGATGTAGTGATGCATGCCTTTAATCCAAACACCCAGGAGGCAGAAGTAGTGGGATCTTTGTGAGTCTGGGCTACATAGTGAGTTCCAGGGCAGCCACAGGTGTCTCAAAAAAACCAAAAACCAAACTGTATATTTCTTAAGAAAATAAATCTTTAAAGGAAAATAAGACACTCTAGACATAGAGAATTGACCAACTTAATTGAGTTTCATCCCTAGGAGCCACACATGGTAGGAGGAGAAACCCGACCAGCATTCATCTTACTCAACCCGTTCATCTTATCTAGGCCTTCACTCTCATTAGCCGCAACTATGATTACCTTGTTGCTACTAGTGTAGCAAACTGCAGAGTATTATTGAACACTGTTTGTGTTCTAGCCTGTACTAGAGCAGTTATGTGTTCTGTCATAGGCAGCAGAGTCTAGCATGGATAGACAATCCCTGGGGCTACTTCCATCATGTAGGAAGAGAAAGAGAACTATACGGTAATGGCATATGGCCGGCCCAGGAAGTTTTCTCTTGACTATGTCTTGGTCTCACAGCCCTTATTTCACTGAAGAGACAACTGTAAAATACATCCTTCCTGTGAACTTGGGAGAAGAGCCATACTAGCTTGGCTCTTCACACCAGCCAGTCAGCAGCTGCATTCAGCAGGTCTGTTAGCAGAGGTTTATATGCTAGGGCTCAGGTACTTGCCATTGAACCTCAGGTCCCTAAGTAAAGGGAAACTTTAAAAATGACTTTAAAGCTCTAGGCCAGGTCCTAGGTGGATGTGGTGGTTAGTTTTAGTGCCATTTTGACAAGATCTAGAATCACCTGGGAGATAAATAAATGTATGTGCCTGTGGGAAATCATACCCACCACTGTGGGTGGCACTGTTCCCTGGTGTGAACCCTATACTGTATAAGTGGAGAGAGGGAATTAAGCAGCAGCATGCTTTTGTCATTGTTTTCCAGTTGTAGATGTCATGTAGCCAACTGTTGTAAGCTTCTGATGTCTGACATGATAGACTGACCTTGAACTGTGAACTAAAACTATTTAAGTTGCTTTTGTCAGTGTATTTTATCGCAGTAGTAGGTAAAGAAACAAGGACAGTGGACAAGTTCAGAAGAGACTGTTTGCACTGGCTCAGCAGTCCCCCTGGAGAGGCTGGACATCTCTTGTTCTTTACCCTGTAGCCCTCAATCTGATTGGCCCTCGAGCTGTGGATGTGCTGTCTGAGTTATCCTATGCCCCTATGACTCCAGACCACTTTCCAACTCTCTTTTGCAAGGTAGGTGCTAGTAATCTAAATTTATTGTTTGTGATGCGGGGGGGGGGGGGGGGGGGGTCTTTGTGTGGTGGGGGGGGGGGGGGGGGGGGGGGGGGGGGGGGGGTGTCTCATGTAGTGCATGCTGGTCCCAAACTTGTTATATAGCAGAGGATGGCCTTATACTTCTGATGTGATTGCAGGTGTGTATGTACTGGGTTTATATGGTGCAGAGAATCAAACCCATGGCTCCATGCATGCTAGGCAAGCACTGTACCAACCAAGCCACATTCCTAGCAGAAGTTGTTTTTTAAATATTAGAGAATATTTCTTTTATAGTGGTGGCAGGTTCATATCTTAAAAAAATTATTTATTTTTATGTATATGAGTGCTCTATCTACATGTATACCTGCATGCCAGAAGAGGGCATCAGATCACATTATAGATGGTTATGAGCAGCCATGTGGTTGCTGGGCGTTGACTCAGGACCTGTGGAAGAGCAGACAGTGCTCTTAACCACTGAGCCATCTCTCCAGCCCCAGGTTCATATTCTTTTTTTTTTTTTTTTTTTTAAGATTTATTTATTATGTATACACTTTTCTGCCTGCATGTACACCTGCAGGCCAGAAGAGGGCACCAGATCTCATTATAGATGATTATGAGCCCACCTATAACCTATATGTGGTTGCTGGGAATTGAACTCATGACCTTTGGAAGGGCAGCCAGTGTTCTTGACTCTGAGCCATCTCTCCAGCCTCAGGTTCATATTCTTAATATGGTGTTAATATTTTGACCTTCATTAAGCAAGTAAAATGACCAAGCAAATTTTCTTTTTAACTTTTCAAGCCTGTTTTATTTTGTAAGGATTAGGATATTCTCTAAAGTACATTTAACTGTCAGGTGTGTACATTTATTGGTTTCTGTAGCAGCTGATTTGAACTTTTAAGGAGAAGAAATGTGCAATCAACACAAAGGTAAAGAATAGTGTATATTAAGGTCAGATTTTTTTCTCCTTATTTGCTTTTGTTTTCATACACACAGTACTATACATGTGCCATCTTCAGGGAAGAAATGGTATAGCTGACAACACAACTAGTTGCCTGGCACACACTACAACTGAATAACTGAATGTTTTGCAGGAAGGTGTCATACAGCCACTTTGGCAACTTGTACTATGCATCTGCCATGGAGGTGCTTAGAAGTTTAAACCTGAGTTGAGATTTTTTCATAGCAAATTGTTTAATTAAATTTCCTTTTTTCTCCCAGGCAGAAAAAACTTCCATGCTAGTGCGCAGATCCCTCCACAGGCTTCTCTGTACTTTAAAGAATGATCCAGCCCATACCCCTGTGCCTGGCAGATGGCATATTTTGTCAGAATTCCTGTGGAAGTGGCTTATTTCAGTGTTTTTTCAGAGTTACCACTTCTCTTTATAGGCCAGCAAGTGTGTCAGTGACCCTTGCAAGGCAACTGAGAAGCTGTAACATAAGAAAATTGAGTTTCTGGTCCCAAGGTAGATGAATTGTATTCTGTGAGCATTGCCCTTTGTATGGCAGATGCCCGAATTTGGCTTGAGAGAAGATGTTTGATTGGTCTTCGTTGTTCCTGATGCTACTTGGCTAATCCAAGTGTTTTAGCAAGATTTGATACTGAACAAAGAATATGCCACCACTTCTAATTAGCTTACATGACACAGGAAGTGGTAATAATATTCATGAGAATTGGAAACTATTTTCCACTCTGAGGATGAAATGCTTTCCTTGGTATGTAGCTCTTTTAAGATTCAGTAGATGATTCACTGACAGGGTTCCCCTCAGGTACTCAGTTTCCTAACTGTCATGAGGGACTAATGCTGACTATTTTTTCTTTGCAGGAGATGAGTGTGGGCTATGCAAATGGGATCCGAGTGATGAGTATGACTCACACAGGAGAGCCAGGATTCATGCTGTATATCCCCATAGAGGTAAGAGGGCTCAGTCTTCCTTTTCCAGGGTCTCTGGGCAGGGCTACTAGTTTCCCAAGCTTCCTGAGCACTGCCAGGTTTGGAATGGTAGGTTCCATTGAGTCTTGGGTAGGCTGTAGGGAAGAGGTTTTATCATTTTTTACAATTAATGTTGAAGATGCACATTCATTTTAAAAATAAGTCGAGGGAGCATAGAATACCTGGGTCCTGTCTCAGCACCACATGGCAGCTCACAACCATCTGTATCTCTAGTTCTGGGAAATATACTGCCCTCCTCTGACTTCCATGGGCACCAGCCATGCACATGGTACACATACATACAGTCAAAACACTCACATGGAATAGAAGTAAGATGTTTAAACATCTTAAAAAAAAAAAACAACAACTTGCCTGGGGCTGTAGCTCAGTTAACATACTGTTTTTCTAGCACTAAGTCAATCCTTGGTTTGATCCCCAGCACTGTATCAACAGGGCATGGGAACACATGACATAACCCCAGCACTTGAAGTTTTAGTCTAGTCTGACTGAACCCAGACATAACCCCAGCAGGAGTTTCAGTGTATCTGGGATAGATGAGACTCTAGGGATCTCAAATACCAACACACAGCGGGCTAGAAAGATGGCTCAGCTGTTAAAGGCGAGGGTCACATCCAAAATGTCAGGCATCAACAGAAGTTTTCCTCAACTTAAAACTTACGAAATCAGTTATGTGGATGGCTGAAGACCAGTCCCAGCAGAGGACAGGGCTTGAGAAGGGTGGATGTATTAGGCGACAGGTGAAGCTGCACCGGACAGCAGTTTAAATCTTTCTCTGGGCCTGAGAATGTATTATCTGCACCTGCACTCAGGAGATAGGCTGTAGAGGAGGAGACTGACTGCTCAGCGCCACAGGGTTTAGTTATATTTCTTACAGCAGTGATTACATCATTTTATCTGCATTTCAAAAAATATTTAACACATCATGCAAAATAAAGCAAAACATCTCTGAATGATCAAAATCATAAAACTTAGTGATCACAAATCCTGTAAAAACAGACAATATTTAACCAAGCGGGGCAGGAGAGCCTTTTGATCTTTCCTCTTGTACAGCCTTGTGGTTACTGATGCTGGACAATTCAGAGTATGGGAAAGGCTAATTTTTAACTTACAATAAAGAAAGCAGAAATTCTTAACAAGCTGCACCATAGTTATTTTTAAGCCTTTGTATTTATAAAACATTATCCTTTGTGTATCATAGTAATTTCTACAATGTTCCCATTCTTATTACTTTTATGTTCTTTAGTAAAAATGTAATAGGGCTTCTAATGATTAACTTATAATTTCTGAAATGTAAAATCATACCCTTCTTCCCATCAACAATCTAATGTAGTACCATTATTTTTACTAATTTCAAATCAGTAATTTTGATGTATATGCAAATAAATTCAAAGGTGGAAGGGAATTCTGAGCACCATTTGTGGTTATGTGTTTTATTATTTGTTTTTGTTTGTTTGTTTTTTGAGACAGGGTTTCTCTCTGTAGCCTTGGCTGTCCTGGAACTCACTCTGTAGACCCAGGCTGTCCTCAAATTCAGACTCAGAGATGTCTGCCTCCTGAGTGCTGGGACTAAAGGTGTGTGCCACCCAGTTGATTTTCTTTCTTAAAACTGGCCTGGGCGTCTCAGTATTATGGCCAGGCTGGTGTCTACTTCCCAAGTGCTAGGATTATACGTGTACACCAGCATGCTTCGTTTTGTCAAATGAGTTAACTTTCTTTATGTATGAGGTAAAGTGAACTTGAAAGCCAGTCTGCAGAGCTGACAGTCTTTCCATTCACATCCTCTCTTGCTTCTGAACTTGGCCTGTCTTTTCTGGAGCACTCATTCCTGCTGGTCTTGGAACATGCTAGACGACAGGCTGCTGCTTTGTTTCCTAATACTTTTTTGTTTTCCTTCTGTCACGTCCTTCCCTATAAAGAGATCCCCAAGCTCTCCATTATTTCCTTTCAGGCCTCACATCAACCCTCCCTGCAGCACACACATATACGCATGTATACACTTATGATTTGTTATTTTTCATATGTATATGTGTGTGTGTATATATATATATATATATATGCCTGAATTTATGTATAGTGTACATGTGTTATGCAGAAGCCTGAGGACAGAAAAAGGTATGAGATTCCTTGGAAATGGAGTTACAAGTGTTGGTAAGGAACTAGAAAAGGTCATCCTGAGTGAGGTAACCCAGAAGCAGAAAAACACACGTGGTATATACTCACTTATACATGGATATTAGACATGTAGGATGAACATACTAAAATCTATAGTTATAAAGAAGCTAAAACAACAAGGAGGACCCTGGGGAAGATGCTTAATCCTCATTCAGAAGGGCAAACAGGATAGAAGTGGGAAAAGACAGGGAACAGGACAAAAGCCTACCACAGAGGGCCTCTGAAAGACTCCATCCAGCAGGGTATTGAAGCAGATGCTGAGACTCACAGTCAAACTTTGGGCAGAGTGCAGGGAATCTTTATGAAAGAAGGGAGATCTGGAGCGGACAGGAGCTCCACAAGGAGACCAACAGAGCCAAAAACAAAACAAAACAAAACAAAACAAAAACAAAACAACAACAAAAAAACCAAACAAAAAACCTGGGCCCTGGGACTCCTGCAGAGATCGATCTTCAAGCCAAGGACTATGCATGAAGAGGACCTAGACCGCCTGCTCAGATGCAGCCCATGGCAGCTCCGTCTCCAAGTGGGTTCCCTAGTAATGGGAGCAGGGGCTATCTCTGATATGCTCAGTGGCCTGTTAATTGATCACCTCCCCTGGGGGTGCAGCCTTACCTGGCCATGGAGGAAGACCATGCAGCCAATCTTGATTGAGACCTGATAGGTCAGGTCAGATAGAAAGGGAGGAGGGCCTCCCCTATCAGTGGACTAGAAGAGGGGCAAAAGAGAAGAGGGAGGGAGGCTGGGAGAGGGTTACAGCTGGGATACAAACTGAATAAATTGTGATAACAGATAGATAGATAGATAGATAGATAGATAGATAGATAGATAGATAGATAGATAGAAAGAAAGAAGTGTTGGTGAGGGCTGGAGAGATGGCTCAGTGGTTAAGAGCACTGTCTGCTCTTCCAAAGGACCCGGGTTCAATTCCCAGCACCCACATGGCAGCTAACAACTGTCCTATGCCCTCAATTCCAAGGGATCTGACATAATGCACATAAAATAATGCACATAAAATAAAATAAATTAAAAAAAAAAAAAGAAGTGTTGGTGAGTTAATGATGTGGGTGCTAGTGGCCAAACCTAGGTCCTTTGGAAGTTCAAGTGCTCTTAACTGCTGAGCCATCTTCCCAGCATTCATAACACTTGTGTTTGTTTCTTTCAGACAGTTTCCTAATATAGTCCTGGAACTCACTATGCAGACCAGGCTGGGCTTGAACTTAAGAGATCCTTGTCTCTGCTTTCTGAGTTCGGGGATTAAAGTCATGCGACACCATGTCCATCCACATCACTTCTTAGTGAGAACTTACTTAAGCTATCCTCATATGTCTCCTTGTACTTTATTATTTTCTTTTCTGTAGCATTTAACACTATTCAATAATATTTCTTGTATATTTCTGAGATTTCCTTATAAAGTTTTTCTATCCTCTCACTTAGGGAAATAGGTATCACATAATAAGCCAGAGTAGATGTTTCCTGGAATATTTTGTTCATATCTTTTTTTTGACCATGCTATCTCCCCATCTCCCAACACCCAGACCAGGTCTGACTTTGTAGCCCAAGCTGGCCTCCTATTCTGCTTTCTTGTATCAATCTGGGACTACACCTACTTTACTAGGCTTCCTTACCCCACACCGCACTCTTGGTTTTTGGATTTATATAGTGTTTAGGGGTGGGGGCATACCTGCATGGTACATGCATGGGGGTCAAAGCTGTAAATTTTGAGAGTTGATTCTCTCCTGTTACTTTGTGGGATCCAGGATCAAACTCAAGTCCTTACATGGTGGCACAAATACCTCCACCACTGAGCCTGTTTTTTTTTTTTTTTTAATCAATTTAGTTGTTCCTTTCTCCCCAACCACATATAAGGTAGGGCTTATTTTGGTTCAGTTTGAGTATTTATTGTCCACAGCAGACAATAAGTTGTGGTGGCAGAATTGTAGCTAGTTACTATTGCATCCATAGTGAAGAATCGGGTATCAATTTACATTTCTAGATACTTTATTTTAAATAGCTATTTTTATATGTATGGGTGTGTGCCTGCATGTGTGTCTGTGCGCCCCACGGATGCAGTGCCCATGAAACCCAGAAGGCGGCATTGGATCCCCGGGATTGGAGCTAAAGATGGTTGTGAGCTGCCATGTGAGTTGCTAGGTATTGAACCCAGGTCCTCTGCAAGAGCAACAGGTGCTCTTAACCACTGACCCATCTCCAGCCCCTTTTGCTACTTTTTGTACATAATACTTTTTCTAGGTTGTCATTTGATATGTACTATAAGGTTGTTTTTGCATAAGTGTTGTCCACAATTGAACCAAGGGTCATATGCATGCTAGGAAAGCATTTACCACCAAGTTTTGTAACGGCTAGGAAAATGGTCTACCAACTGAGCTTATGTTTTCAGCAGCTTCAAGGTTTTAGTTTTAAAATGTGGCCATATCTGTTCAAAACTAACCATTAAAAATGAGAAAATTTTTTCTTCAGCCTACCCAAGAATCAATGGAATACACTGCTTCCCTGAATTAGGAAGTACACTGGTTGCTAACTTTTCTTGTCTTATAGTATGCTCTGCATGTCTACAATGAGGTGATGAGTGTTGGACAGAAATATGGAATCCGGAATGCTGGGTATTATGCTCTTCGAAGTCTCCGAATTGAAAAGTTTTTTGCCTTCTGGGGTCAGGACTTAAACACCCTCACCACGCCCCTGGAATGTGGAGGAGAGTCTCGAGTGAAGTTGGAGAAGGTACCATTTATCACACTCTCCCTTGTGCCTCTCAGCTGAGCGGTGTGATCTGTCTGGGATGGGGAGAGCTGAACACATCAAGAGCAGGGAAGAAAGGGAAGTGTTAGCTAGCATCAGGTAAAGTCACAAGGAACAGTGCTCTCAGGACAGGAAACTTACTTGTGGGGTACACATCGTCACATGAAGTCCCAACACCCTAACACGTTTACATTGCCATAATAAGGTTTTAGTCGACTGTGGCCGTTCATAAGTGTACCACAGTATTTATCCAGTTAGTCATCTTACAGCCAGCTGCCTAATTTTCTTAAAACAAACATATTTTAAACTTTTAATTCTGTGTATGCATTTCCGTGCAGTTGTCAAAAGGGCACTGGGAAGTGAGCTTGGGTCCTGTAGAACTCTTTTAACTTCTGAGCTATCTCTCCACCCCCAGGCATTATTTAGAAAACTGTAATTCAACAAAGAGAATCTTTCCCACCTCTGAACATCATCCTGTGTGCTGTGTCCTCTTGGCTTCTCAGAAGCAGCAGTTTGTTTCTGTTTTAGAGTGTTAATACGGTACAAGTATGACAGTGTGTGATTTTCCCCTGCCCACTGCCCACCTTTAACCTAGATGGTGTTAAGTTTGTACCTGGCTTTATTTACAACAACGTATTTGGGAGTTCCTTGTCAGTACATTTGGAGTTGCTGTCTTTATTTTCTGAAACGGTCTCACTATGTAGTCCTAGCTGGCCTGGAACTTTCTATATAGACCAGCGTTGGCGTACTTTTGAAAAAACTCTTTTATTTCTTTTCTTTTGCTCCCTACTTCATCCCAATCCCTTCCAATACCCCAACACCAGGTAGGAAGGAGAAAGGGTTAGTGGGAGAGGGGGCACAATTCTCTTAGCTGCTTCCTGCTGGTTAGGGTTGTTGGGTTCCTTGCAGCCAGTCCAATCCTCATTTCAGGGGATCTCCAACTTCTTGTCTCAGTGCAACAGGAGTCGTAGGGAGAAGCAGCATCAGCCTTGTTATTTCTTGGCGCTCTACCATGTTCTCTGGGCTCTGGCATGTATTCTCTCTCCAGAGTCCTCAGATTTAAACTGTCTGTAGCTGGTAAAGAGCTCCTCTCTGAGCCCATGTAAGGCAAATAGTCTGCTGCTGTGGACTGTCTGAATCAGTCCCACATCCCAAAACAAACACGTTTACATCCACAACAGACCAGGCTGAACTTGGACTCAGATCTGCCAGCCTCTACCTCTCAAGGGCTGAGATTAAAGGTGTGTGCCCTCATGCCCAGCTATAGTATTCCTTTTGGCCACAAGCATATTAATTGTGAAAAATGACATGTTGTTACTTTTGTGCTGTGAAAATGTTAACTCACTAAAATGACCTGTATTTTAATTAGATATAATCACTATTAAATTTATTCATTAATTAAATTTATATGTAACTATATGCATTGGTACATAAAGATGCATGGGCTTTTTGTTGGAAGTACACCAAAGCTACTTCTACTTTTATGGAACTGGTTCTTTGCTGCCAACTTTACACAGGTTCTGGGGCTCAAACTCAGGTTTTTAGGCTTGTGTGATTAAGAGCATTTATCTGATGAACCATCTTTCCATCCCTCTAGCGAGTATTCTTGATTTTCCAAATTTTCTAACATTCTTTGTTCCATGTAGGCTTGTGATTGAAGTCTGTTCACAGAAGCATGTACTTCTGCTGTTAAAAAAGTTCTTTGGTGTCTCTGCTGTGAACGCAGCTTTTTACAATTCCTAAAATGCCATTTTCCTAAAGCTAGGAATGTAGGCTGTATGTGTGTGCTACATTCCACTGCACTTACCCATCAGTTCCCACTTTTACCTGCCAAGGGCTGTCACAGACTGGTATCTCAGGTTCTTTGCCCCTCTTTTCTTTCCTAGGGCATAGATTTTATCGGTCGGGATGCCCTGCTGCAGCAGAAGCAGAATGGGGTATATAAACGCCTTGCTATGTTCATCCTGGATGACCATGACACAGACCTGGACCTGTGGCCTTGGTGGGGAGAACCCATTTACCGGAATGGAAAGTATGCTGGCAAGACCACCAGTAGTGCCTATAGTTACACTCTTGAGCGTCACGTATGCCTGGGTTATGTACACAATTTTTCTGAGGACAGTGGGGAGGAGCAGGTGGTGACAACGGATTTCATCAACCGAGGAGAATATGAAATTGACATTGCAGGACATCGGTTTCAGGCCAAGGCCAAGCTCTACCCTGTCACCTCCTTTTTTACTCACAAGCGTAGAAAGGATGATGTGGAGCTGAGTGACTTTCATGGGAAGTAATGCCAAGACATCCTCCCTTCCTCCCATTCTCTCACCTTGAGGGAGCATCATTCCGGGAGCTGACTTTTTTCTCTGTTCTTGTCTCTTTATGGGAGGTACCTTTGTCCTCTATTTGAATTTTCAATTTGACTTACTTTAAAAACTTCTTTGAAAGCCTTTCTTGTCCCCCCATTTTTTCCTTTGCTGTCACCCCTCCTAATACTCCAGGCTCTTCTCATCCCTCCAGCAGGCTCACATTCCCACAGTGGAAGGCAGAAGCCACTTGTGGTGTCAGGTTAAGGTGACAGGCTGATTGTTAAATTTCATCGTAAGGCATATGGTCATTTTTAAGTCTTGGGGCAAAAGTCCATTTCCCTTGGGCTGGGATTCTTAAGAGTAACCTGCTAACTTTGGCAGAATATGTGTGTCTGATGCAGCCCGGGAATAACTTGTGTCTTAACCAGGCAGATGATTCTGTCCCACTGTGCTGTAAGCTGCCACCTGGTACCTCTTAACCATCTACCTCACTGATGAGAGGGACTGCATGGACACTGCTCTGTGGAAGGGACTAGTAGTTAACCTGGCACCCCCGTTTCCCAACTTTGTCCTTAGATCTTTGGGCCCAGGCAACCTGACTGCAATTTTATTTTCTGCTATTCTGTATAATGAGGTTGGTTGTTTCTTAGCCGAGTGAGTATATGTGTATGCCAGTATTTGAAACGAGTAGGAGCAGTGTGAATGCAGATGTTGAGTTCCTTCTATTAGAAGAGTGCTGCTTTTCTTTCAGCTAATCATAGGTCAGCAAGCTATCCCTTCTTGATTTTCCTCAGACGGCTTCTAGCCTCATCTGTGCCTTCTATAGCCTGCCTACATCCTCAACATTCATTCTTACTCCTTTAGAAGAGGGAGAGGGATTAGGTAGGGTGAGTAAGACATGCTGTACATACTGCATTCCAGAGAGCTACCAGATTCCCAAATTTTACACCCTTAGTATGAACAGAGCCACATTTAATTACCATGGAGAGCTGTAAGGACAATTTTCCATCTTTTCTTTCCACACTTCCCCTGGTACCCATGCACATCCAGCCCTCCTGACAGAATTTTGAAATGGAAAATTCACTACACATTTCAGTGGTACTGCTATTTTCTTTTTGTGGGATGGCTTAACACTGGAACTCTGGCTAGTCTCAAATTTGTGGTGGTCCACCTGCCCTAGTCTCGTGAGCACCAGGGGGTTGTGACAGTGTTTTCTGAAAGTAAACTTGGATGTCACAGGCTATGCTAGGTAACACCAACACTTAATTTTCTCTTGTATACAAACTGCCCCAGTGTGGATTATGAGAACCTTTAGTTCTCTGAGCAGTTGGGAGGCAGGTGGATCTTTGTGAGTTCAAGGCCAGCACATTCTACAAAGCACGTTTCAGGATAGCCAGCACTACACAGAGAAACCCTGTCTCAAAAAAATCTCCAGAGACAGCCTTTAATTCAGCGTAGTTCTGGAAGCATTGGTTCTGTAAATTCTTAATAGAAATCCTTCACTTAATTAGAGCAGCTCAAATTTCTATAGAACTGTTATTCAGACTACTCTTTTTACACATTTCTTACTATTTTTTTTTCCAGCTAGACCACTCCTACTTGGCTTCTGATAAGATTTTAATTAATCTGTAAAAAAGGTACACAATTTGCTGTGAAGGGGGATTGCTGTTCTGGAGGAAATGTGTATTTAATGAGATGAGAGGTGCTGTTTCTAGGCAAAGGGAAGAGAGGAGAAATACTCTGCTAATGAGCTGATCAAGGCAACAGCAGCAGTGGACCACTGAGGAGATCAAGAGCAGGCCCTTAGCTGACCTATGAAGATGAAAGTAGATACACACAATGCCAGGTATTTTGTGTTCTTTCCAATATGGTTGATGGTTGTAAACATTCCAGAGTCTGTGTGAATGAAAGTTTATTTGGAATTGAATACAAAAGAATTTTTGACCTGTGCATTAATAGTAACAATGTAGCAGCAGGCTGGGCATGGTGGCACACACCTGTAATTCCAGCATTCCAGAGGGAGGCAGAGGCAGGCCGATCTCTGCGAGTTTGAGGCCAGCCTGGTCTACAAAGCAAGTTCTGGACAGAGAAACCCTGTCTTGAAAAACCACAAAGATGTAGCAGCAATGTAGCGGCAAATCTGCTCTTTAACGATTCAGAAAACCCCCACAACTTCCAAAATAGTTAAGTTTTAAAATTTGGTGTGCCATTATTATAGTATATTCTTCAACTACAAATGTCATCAAGAGTACTTTCAGCATATATTTTGAGTCTTTTCTTCACTTGTTAGTCTCAAAGTTGGAGAGAAACCACTGTATTCCAAAAACATACAGCAACTTTCTAGGAAGTCTTCAGTTAGAAGTTCTGGCTGTTGCTGTTTTCAGCTCGCAGGCAGTGCTTGACTTGCTGAGGCTTTTTCTATGGTGGGTGTCATACACACCTTACATTAGTTGAGGGGGCCGTTTACCTGGAACACCTGATCCAGAAGTGTTGGAGGGGCATTCTAGGCTTCTTGAAGTAGAAGCAGGTTAACAACAGAAATGCTAAGTCCAGAGCAGTGGTACTCAACTGTGGGATATGACCCCTTTGGGGTTGGACAACCTTGACCCTTTCATGAGTCATCTAAGACCATTGGAAAACACAAATATTTAATTATGATTCATATTAGCAGCAAACTTACAGCAACGAAAATAATTTTATGGTTGGGGTCAGCACAGCATGAGGAACTGTAATGAAAGGGTTGCAGCATTAGGAAGGTTGAGAACCATTGCGCTAGAGGCGTGACTGAAAATCCAGGAAGACTAAGACTGTACATCCTCAGTTGTGAGACATTTCCAGCTCTTGGACAGTGAGGCTGTCTCGGCTTGCCTTGTATGACAACACACTGTGGGGAGCCAGTCAGCTTTAAGGGGATGAACACTTCGGCTTTAGGTGACAGGTTCTCTGGAATAATCTGTTGTCACATTTCTTTCCCAGAAGTGAGGGGTTCCATGTTCTTTGATAAATCTCTTTGAACAAGGTAACAAAGATTATATATATATATGAGCTAGGGTTAGTAGTTTTCTGGGATCCTTCTGGAAACGATACGAATGAAGGCTTTCTTTCCCCTTAGCTGTTCATGCCACATGCAACACCCGTTTCTCAGCACTACCACAGTCATTTGAAATGTACTCAAACTTCTAGCAGAGTTCCCTTCCATGACAGGTACTCACCTTATAGAAAGGGACAAGGAGCAAAGGCTTGAATGGTCTGAATTGTTCTTCTGTGGGTCCCTACAGGCCTCATTAGTCCTGGGACACAGGATCATGTAACAGCACCAAACTGTAGCTTCATTTTGGTCTCTTAAGAGCCCATTTGTGCAGGAGTGGAATACAGCCACTTCAGCTTGGCTCAGTACTTTCTGGCCTGTCTCCTTTACACCTAATATATTCTAGGCTGTTGTGTTCAAGCAAGAAGCGTAACTAAACATGAAAAACAAATTTGTAGGTTTTAGTATTCCACTGCTCTGCTGTTGGATATGGATGGTAGTGCCAGTATGAGTTACAAATACTGGGATCTGCTAAAGGTATGCTGTTTCACTGAAGACTCACAGCTTTGATTTTCCGGTCAATTGTTCTCTAGCTTAGGAACAAACATTTGCTAGCATCTGAAAAATTCATCACCACACTTTGAGAGAATTTATGCCTTATAGTATTGGTACCAGTCCTGGGAAGAGTAATTCCATCAGCCTGTTTGCCAAAGTCAGCTACAGATTTCATCCTTGTATCTGTTGATTCTTAGCCAAGGAAACTAATTTATAATATTTGGGGTAATGAAGAATAAGCTGTCATTTTTCATTTTCTGCATCCCAACACCCCCACCTCACAAATGTTGATAAGCAGCATAGTATCAACACAACCTTTCTTGGCTAGAGAATGTTCATCTTGTGCTTACATCTGTAGGCACACAGACTGAGAAGGTGAGTAGGTGAAATGTGTTATCTGAGCTATGGGTTGATTGGCAGTACCTCTCTTCCTCTGCCACTACTGCTTTTGGTCTACAAGGTGCTGATCTGCAAGCCCCCATTTTCAAGTCAATGTGGGGCTTTCTCCTGCAGTCCCTAACTTTTTCACAGTGAGTGTTTCATAACGCCTTTGCCTTCTCTGTTAAGCATCAGCATTTCCCCTATATAAGACTCTTGGCCTCACTAAGCACTTTTCCACTTCTGAATAATTATATACATTTTCTTCATATTTTGAGTCACCGGTTTTAAATCTTTGCAAACATCTACCTCCTTGTCTTTCTGTCTGTGAAGGACAGACTACAAGAGGAGGGGAAGTTATTTTTATCATGTTTCAAAACATCTATGCCAAGATTTCTTTGCACACCAAGAACTGAAGCTTGGAACATTTCTCTCAGCCCAGTTCTAGTGCCTTACACTCCAGAATGTCCAGTAGTGGACTGAGATAGGAAGAAAGTGGAATGTTGTCTGTGGGGTCTCAGCCCTCCTATCAGTCCTCCTTCCTCAGAATAATCTGGGTGTGGGGTAAAAAGTTCTGTAGCTCATTTCATTGAACGCTTTTTTAGTTCATATGTAACTCTCTGGTTGATGCTTAAACTATATAAAGCACCAGTACGATTACTATAAAACTCTAGAAATTTGCATTTAGCTCTTTTCTTTCCTGTGTAGTGTCAGCATGTGGTCTTAAGGAGATTCTAGGTATTGGAGTAAATAAAAAACTTTTCCTGAGCAGACTCAGTTGATTTTGGACACATGGAGTAACTATGCTTTTTATGACCAGAATTCTTTCTAGATTGCTGGATTTCAATTGAGATTTTCTTTTCATGTATTAGGTGTATGTATAAATGAATAAACTGATGTTTTCATAACTACTGTCCCGTCCACTTGTTAAACGTCCTTTAACTTCGTTACAACGTGTTATTTGCCTTCTAAAGGATGAAATAAAACCACTTACACCCGTAATACTAAGGGTTTTAGAAACCCAGGTAAAGAAGAGACAGGCTTATGGCAAATTCTCTGAGCAGCCTTGTAGAGAAGAAAACCTTCTGGGTAAGAATGAACATGAGCCATTGCTATATGCATAGAAGCAAGCCCATGTTTGTGTAAAAGAGGGACAAAGAGAATTAGCCAGCCAGAGAGGGGGCGAGTACCACAATTCTAAAAACCATGCAGCTAAAATCTCAAAGGACAATTATAAGCCTCTTGGATACCCAGTCCCTCCCCAGTGGGGATACAGTGCCTCTCACCATGCAAGCATGGGAGGCAAGTTTAACAAATATACTGCTGGAAATACTGATCGCGATCCCTTAGAGGCCAACTGGTAACATCCTGGAAAAATAAACCAGAAACTCATTGGGTAAGTATTCCAAGAAGAAAAATAGTTATGAAGACGCTGGGTGTGGTGCCACACGCCTGTAATCCCAGCACCAGGGAAGAGGTCAAGGCTATTGTGGGATACACGTCTTCCAAAAAATTCCAAAAACCTTACCAATTTAGGAAGCTATAAAATCTAAAAAGAAAATGATTTTTAAAATAACTGTTTGACCTGCCAGTGGTGGCACATGTCTTTAATCCCAGTACTTTGGAGGCAGAAGTCAGGGCTACACAGAGAAACCCTGCTTTAAAAGAAACAAAAACCGTTTTCCTGTTTTAATTATAGCCTTGCCTAACTGTCCCCCTTCAAGGTAAAAACAAGTTTAGAAATGTCTTTAAAGACAGTAAAGTATAGCGAGGCGTGGTGGTTCACACCTTTAATCCCAGCACTCAGGAGGCAAAGGCAGGTGGGTCTCCGAGTTCCAGGTCAGTGAGGGCTATGTACAGAGAGCCTGTCCCTAAATAAGCATCCAACCAAACAATAAAAGCAAAAGGTTAAAAAAGGCCACCAAGCAAGCAAAGCACAGAATAAATGACAATTATATACCAAGGCCCAAATGCACGCAGCGCGTCACTGCTGCTTCCTTTCTGACATTACCGGCACCAACCAAGGCGTAGACTTGACTTACATCATGTTGTGCTCTTAAACAAGGTATTTTATAGGACTTTAATGTCCCTGATAAGTGCTAATAGTTTAAAGAAACTTCTTCAAACAACTCAAATTTTAAGGATTAATTTATTATTTATATAGCATGCTACCTGTATGCGTGCCTGAACACCAGAAGAGGGCACTAGGTCTCAGCGTAGACGGTTGTGAGCCACCTTGTGGTTGCTGGAATTGAACTCAGGACCTTTGGAAGAGCAGCCAGTGTTCTTAACCTCTGAGCCATCTCTCCAGCTCCCAACGTCGCAAACTCTAACACAGCACACTTCTACGTCGTGCACAGCTTGCCCCAGGCCTAAACATAATTTTAAGAAGTTTACTGTCTGTGCTCACTGTGCGTGTGGAAGTCGGGACAAATGGCCAGTTCTTGCCTACCATGAGGGTTCCTGGGGATTAAACTCTGGTCCTCAGGCTTGGCTGCAAGTGCCCCTACCTGCTGACTCAGCTCGCCAGCTCACCAACCAGAGAGCTGCTTATCTAGGGACCTAACTGGATCAAAATTTGTACCCAGTCAGACATGCTTGCAAACACCTGTAATTCCAACATCTGAAAGCTAGCTAGATGTCCAAGACCAGTTTCGTCTACATAGTGATTTGGGGGCCACCTTAGGCTACACAGGACTGTCTTGGATGCTTGCATCCATCTACAACTCATAGACCAAACCCCTCTCCTTGGAGACCACAGTGTCAAACATAAGTGCTTGAAGTCTGCATCAACTCAAGTGGGTCCCTACTTGTAAAAGACAATCCACTCTATATCCGAGGTGACCACTGCCTGCAAGCCTACAATCTTGACTCTTTATTAAAGCACTGAAGGGAGTTGGGAAACAAGTTACCTAATCCTGATTTTATTGGGAAGCATTAGCCCTGTTTATATCAATCTCTGACCCTCCCAGGACTACCTACTCCCTGATCTCTTTGCATCAGTCTCTTACCCTCCATCTTCAGACACAATCAGCAAATTCAGTCTCTTTGTAGTCAATGGTAGAAACCTACTTTAAAGCACAATACAAAGGACCAGGTCTGGGGTTGAATTTTTACAAATTTATGTTGCCTTAGCATTGGTGTGTGTATACAAAAAGTGGCACATACCTTTGGTCCCAGCGCTGAGAAGGTAGAGGCAAGATCTCTGTGAGTTTGAGGCCAGCCTGGTCTACAGAGTGAGCTCTAGGACACAAATTCTGCACTCAAGTGCCAGTTGGACTTTCTCACGAGGCCAATCTCTGTTACCTTTGAGCTTCAAGGTTCCATGTACTAATTTTGTTAGAGGATGAATAAATACAGAGATAATACCCAGACAGATGCTTCCGGCGACCTCTTCCCTGTGGACTTGCTGGACATAACTGGCTTGATTCTGTTAGTTCCCTGACGTTACAACTTACGTGGGTTGTGCGGAGGAGTGAGCGGACTGGTGGTCACATTTTTTTGCTACTTACCTAGGGGAACTTGAATATGCTTGTTTTAATCTCACCGAGCGGGACTGAAGGTATACTTAAGTCGTAGAGGACTTGCCTACCATTCCTAAGGCTCTTGGTTTCATATCTGGCACTACAAAAAAAAATTAAACAAAGTAAACATTAAGCGTCAACACGCCCTCAACCCTGGCTCTGCTGCCCTATGAAGGTATCCAATCTCAGCAGTGTCTGCCTTATTCCCCATTCCTGAAGGAAATGAAAGGGGAATAAAGGGATTCTTGCACACTTTCTTATATAAAACACCACCCATTTACTTATTGTTTGCTTCTTCAGTTACTCCACAGGGCTCTGGCCCTACCGCACAGTGGCACGGACACTGCCCTCACCAAAAACACTGAATTCACTGGTTTTAGAGGATCTCTCTCACACCACACCCTTAAGACCACAGACCATGCCTTCCTACTTGCACACAGGTTCCTGGTTTCACTTCTTTAGCTCCTGGCTCACACCTCTTTGCGGGAGCCTGTCTTCTTCTACCCGGAGCCTTCCCATCTTTTCCCCTTTCTTTTAGTATCAGCACAACCCATGGCCTGACCCAAGAAGCCTGCACCCTGAGCTTCAGATCTGTTTCTCAAGTAAACAATGGCCATGCCCACTTGATCCCACAGGGAAAACCCAGCACACCCAAACGCAAACAAACCTTCACCCTCCAGGCTTCCCGCACCGTGTCTGTTCCCAGTGGCTCCACACGCTAGAATCCAGAGTGTCACCCGGCTTTCTCCCTTTCTCCTCTCTTCTCCATTCACTTCTCAGGACGTTCCCATCCAGTTACATCCTAAATCTCACACAGACACATCTACTCTCCAAATCCCCTGGACCTCTGGCTCTTGCTGGAATCAATTACCAGCACCACATGGGGTGCACACTCGTCTCTAACTGCATTTCCAGTTAATTCGATGCCCTCTTCTGACGTTCGTGGACGTCAAGCACTTACGTGGCGCACAAACATACTTCTAGGCAAAACACTCAGAAAATACATGTAGTTAAGTATGTATTTAAGTAGCTTAAAAGAAGAAAAAAGTACACCAGGAATGAGTCTACTCCAGAAGGTCTGGCAGCAAAACCAAAGTTCCGCGGTGGAAAGGAGGTAAAGCCAGGAAAATAGACACTGAAGACCTCAAACTCGTTCAAATTGAAACGTCAGCAAGGTTAAATTTTTTTTGTGTATGTATTTTCTTGAAATTCGTGAAAATAGCTGTGTATCTCCAGCAGTAAGAGTAACGTCTAAATAGTCTTAAGACCCAGACTGATCCTGCTCAGATCTCACCCCAACAAGGTGAAGACAGCTCTATCCGGGAGTAGTGCTCGCACCTGTAACTCCCACCACACCGGATGCGGAATCAGGAGGCATGTTCCACGTTCCAGGTGTGCCTGGGCTACAGTGCGAGACCCTGTCTTTAGAAGACAAAAACAGTGCCAGTTCTAACAACCCCTGAATTCTTCCTCCGGTAATTCTTCCTCTTTGTGAGCCACAGGTCACAAAGAGCGACTGCAGAATGGAGGCGGACGCATCCCTACAGGGAACTCGGGGATCACCGGGACAAGAGTAAAAGCAACAGACTCTGACTCTGAACAGTCATTCCGATCCTGCAGGTTCGGCATGCTCAACAGAGTTCAAGAAGATGATCCAAGTCCCTGCCGCCAAAAAGCGGACCCTTAAAGGATGTCTTTACCACTGGACCCTCGACCACAGCACCATCCCTATACATCAAGACTGCACAAATGCTCAGAGTGGACTTGGAGACCGCGGACTCGAACCTCAGGACCATACACAACAGTCCCCTCAAGTCACCCACTGGAACCCACCGCCCTGAGGTAGTCTCTGACAGGAGGTGATAAGGCACAGCCGAACCGCACGATGCCAGGTGGGAAAACAACTCGGAGACGCGGGAGCACAGCTGGCCGCGACAGCAGGTGCGTGGCCGCCAGAGCGGAGCCAGCCCCGAGGCCCGGCCGCCCTCGGGAGAGCCGGCGCGCAGGCCCGGGGCAGCCGGCGCGGGTCCCCGCGTCCCGCACAGCTCGGCTGCCTCAACCCAACCGCACCGCACCGCACCGCCTCGGAGACCAGGAGCAGCAGCCGGGAGCCGGAGGCCAAAGCTCCGAGGACAGGGGCGTTGGGGGCGCAGACGTTCACGGGACGGAAAGGCCGCCCGGACCGGCAGGTCGTGGCCGCCTTCCTACCTCGGGGGCCCGCGGCTGGCGGACAGCGCGCTCACACACGCCCGGCCGAAGGGAAGCGCAGCGCAGCGGCCGAAGAGGGTCTGCGCGGGCCGGAAAGGGGGACGGGGCACGGGAGGGAGGCGGGACGCAGAGCGAGAAGTTCCGGGACCGCAGGGGCCCGCGACCTTCCGCGCTTTACGGCCCGCGGCAAGGGTAAGGCGGGCGCGCGCGCCGGCGCCGTGACGTCACCCCGACGGTCCGGCCCGCACGTGGGCTTGTTTGGGCCTCGCTAGACCACGCCCCTCCCGCGACGCCTCCGCCTCCGCCTCCGCCTCCGCCTCCGCCTCCGCCTCCGCCAAGATGGTGGCGTCGTGCGGGAAGCTGCCCGCCTCGGGCTTCGATCCCAGGCCTCCGCCGCGCTCCGTTTCCGCCTAGAGCCCGGACATCGGAGCCGGGCCACAGCCTCGTCTGCGCCGGGCCCGAGCCCGGGTCCTGCTGCGTCGGGTCCGCGGCCCAGAGCCACATCTCGGGCCGGTGGTCGCCCCGTTCTCTGGCGCTGCGCGTCGCCTGAGGCCTTCCTGGGCTAGGCCTTGGCAGAGCCCATCGCAGAGCTTGTTCTGCGGGCCTGGCCGGACCTCGGAGGCCCGGTCGGCCGACCTGACTCCCCGCCTTACTCCCTGCGCCTTTCCAGCTCGTCTCTGCCCACAGGCCTCAGAAACGCCTTCCGTCCCCTCCAGCTCTCAGTCACAACTACCAGTTTCTTTCCTCCTCAGAACTCATCACTAGCTCAGATACATGTGTTCGCTGCGTGCCCTTACACCGCTGTAGACGCGCTGCTCCGATTTCTAGAGGACCAGACCTTACTCAGGTGTGGCTTCTCACTCAGTACCTTCTACCTGCACCTGGCACACGGTCAGATACATCCTTCCCACCGATAACAATAGAAATGGTGCTATGCCAAAGCACCTTTGGCTAAGCTCTTCAGTTGTCGTTCTTTGATTCAAGCCTGTCTTGTCTCAGGCCAGTCATTATAGCTGGCTGCCAGTTGTCAGGCATTGTGCCGGGTGACAGGTTTAGCATCGAACAAGATAGAGGCTCTGCTTTTAAAGAATGTCAATAACGTTCCAAAGACTGTCTCCACATGGTGCCATTTCCATTCCGTGGCCACAGACTGTGAGTGAGAGCTGGGAGTGGAGGCCTCTACTCAGGTCACGTTCCTTGTTTCTGAGACATGAACATTCAATGCATGTGAGTTCCTCTGGTAGATGAATGTTTTCCTGTTTTAGCTAAGAGCTTAAGGGTCTATCTCCCCCCAAATGGTAACTTGTTAAAAGGAACGTAAGACAACCAGCAACATTACTGGGGAAGTCTCTCGTGATGCCCAGAGGCGGTAATTTGGGGAAAAAAAATATCACAAGTGTTCATATGAGCCATCTGCTTCATGTGTCTAGGCTTGCAAAATTGATGATGGAAGGGTTACAAGAGTTGATGGGCAGGAGGTAGCCACGTCGCTTGCTGTTTCCCCCCTCTTTGCCGTTATTGACTGCTTCTCCCTTCTAAGGACCCAAGTCCAAAACCTTGCGTGACGTGTACCAAGGTTTGTCCTCTGTGGTTCTCAAAACAAATAGTAAACTTGAGGCACACTCCAGAAGATTGCTTTAAAAAAAAATTCACTTTCAAAAAGAGGCGTATATGTGCATAGATGCGTGTATGTGCATAGAGGTGTCTGTGCATAGATTGTCTAGGTGCATAGATTGTCTAGGTGCATAGATTGTCTAGGTGCATAGATTGTATAGGTGCATAGATTGTATAGGTGCATAGATTGTATATGTTCATAGATTGTATATGTGCATAGAGGCGTCTATGTGCATAGATTGTATATGTGCATAGATTGTTTATGTGCATAGAGGCGTCTATGTGCATAGATTGTATATGTGCATAGAGGCGTCTGTGTGCATAGATTGTATATGTGCATAGATTGTCTATGTGCATAGGTGCGTCTATGTGCATAGATGTTCCTCCTGCATGTTTTTACCTGCCTCATCTGTATGCCTGGTGTTCAGAGGCCAAAAGGTGGCCTCCGGGCCCCGGGACTGTAGCCAAACAGCTGAGAAGTCAGTGCTGGGAACTGAACCCAGGTCATGTGGAAGAGCTACCGGTGCTCTCCACCCATGTGACGTCTCTCCTCCCCTCCACTTTCTGCTCTTGGACAGGATCCAGGTTCAGGTCCCAGCACCCACATGACATCTTATGCCACCCTGTAAATCCAGGGTGATCCAGTAACTTCTGAACTCTACAGACAGCAGGCACACACAGGGAAACTCAGACCCTCTCCCCACTTCCTCTCTCTACACATCCCAGCTAGTGACCCAGATGAAAGTACTTCAAGGTTCCCCTGCTATCAGGCACCCTCCTTAGGCTGCCAACTTAACACCTAGATGCTCTGAAGAGAATGGGAGGTTCAGAGGGGCGGACCTAGGAAGAACATCCAGGACCGATCCCTGGCTCAGGACAGCGAAGAAAGCTCATAATGGCAAGGACTGAGGCCAGGCACCTCTTTTAGGGTCAAGCTGGCCATGTGGCTCACCTGTGCCTTCCCCAGGGCAGAGCCTTAATTAAACACATGGAAAAATAAGTAATTCAGGGCAGATCAGCCCCACTTTGGAAACTCAAGATGTGATTTCCAACCCACCACAGCCGTTTTCCTTTCCCCCAAATCCTGCAGTCTCACCTTGCTGGGCCCCTACAAGCCAGGATCCAACAACCCTATGGGCAAGGTCTGTGTGTAAGTTGGCTCACAGCTCTATGAGCTTGCAGAAGTTAGAAAGCCCTCCTGCTCACTATAGAGAGGACCCGACAAGTACAAACCTGCACACTCTTTATTAAATTCTCCCATTTCATCTGTACAGAAAAAAATGCACATTATGTTCAGAATCTCAGTAACATCTCAAAATTACACAGCATGAACATGTAAAAACAAGGAACTGCAGGGATTTTATACATAGAAAGGAAATCCATTTACAAAAGAGTCTTGTTAATTGTACTTTTCTTTCTTTCAAAAAACAAAACAAAAATGAAAAGCAAAACCAGGTTAGAGGCCCACAATCTTGCACAGCGCTTGTAGTACACTCTGCCTTTCTGCGGGGACTGACCTGCTTGCTGGGAGTAGCCATCAGGACACCCACTGCCACTCACTGTGCTGCCAAGTTATGGGACCTGTTCGAACAAAGGGCCCCATGCTCTGAGGTTCTCATGTTAGTTTTTGTGTTGGAAAAAGTGAAACATGACCTAGAGGCATGGTGTGCATGCCTGCTCACCTAGGAAGCTCTCCGTGCCTGGTGCTCAGTGTCCAGGTAGGGAGTAACGACATCAGAAGACCCCTGTCAGGATCCTGTCACAACCTGTTTGCACAGACAACTGTATCTTTGTGTTCTGGGTGACAAGCAGTCCCTGAGCCCCCACTGCAGTCTCAATGTCTGCTCAGGACAGTGTGTCACCCTGAGGCTCAATCTTGGTTGCTTACAACTCACTGTTAGCTGAGGTCTGGGTAGCAAGGGAAATTTGGCTTTCGACTTGATTAACTGAACAGGTGATCCTGGCCCTCCCTAGTGGAGAGACCAAGTGTGGACAGATGGCAAACCAAAGCTACATGGAGTGAATGGGAGGCCAGAGCATCAGGTACAGCCCTTTGGGAACCGAAGCCAAGTGGGGCAGAGATGGTTAGGAGACCTGGGCTCTGAGGGTCATATTCTACAAAACTACTAAGTGTGCCCAAACGGTAAGAAACCCAGGAGGGCATTCTGAGCTTTCAAACTCATGAGAATCTGAAGCACAGACTTCCAAAGGGCATGTGATTAAAAAAGCCATCACCGTCTTTCGGGTCTCTGGTCCCAACTTAGGCTGTAGGTGTCAGGCTGGGCTGGCTGAGCCTGGGGCAGGTGGAGGAAGCTTGTTGTTTTGGGACAGATGGAAAGAATGGGAAGGAAGGTTTCTTTTCAGAAAACCCAGAAATGGTACCATAGCCTGTGAGGATGCGGAGCTCTGGACGTAACCGATAGACTAGAGTAAACGCTCTCTTAGGAAGGAGGTTACTAATCTTGTGACCCATGCTTAGTGTGTCTGATAAACAGGGCACCCTCCGTCAGTTGATTTCAGGAAACAGGAAGACATGATAAAGTTGGATCATTTTCTGCCAACTCATGTGGGACAGGAGACTGTTGCTCGCATCTTTCTGGTCCCTGCTAGCACAGATGCTCCTACCCAAAGAGCAGGAGGTGCAGCCAGGGGACCACGTGACCACTGGGCCACCACATCTGTGGCCTGGAGTGCCCCACCTACTCAGGGTGCGCTGGCTCAGCAAGCTGACCTGGTCCACACAACCAGGCCTGGAAATGCTAGCCAGATGTTCTCTGGGAAGGCAGAGGGCAAGCTTTCCCAGGGTCAGGCTGCCCGCACATTCCTAGCAACAGCAACAGTCAAGTCCAGGGACTTGGTAAAAGAAATGTCTTGCTCCTGGAGGGTCCCTTCAGTGAATGAAGCCCCATCAGAAGGAAAAAAAAAAAAAGTTTAGTTTGTCTGGCTCTTAGCTCACTATCCAGATCTCTGACCTCACGGTCCACAGAGGCTCTAATTTTTTGAAGCAGCAATGGAAAGTGTACCCCAAGACACTGAAATCAACTGGCAAAGCTAGACTACAGTAACCTAGCAGTGCCTGAAGCCTCGTCCTAAACCCTTCTAACTATTTCTATTCTTAAGTAATGAAAGCAGGACAGTGGAAAGAAAGGCTCAGACTTTGGCTCCCAGTGTACTAAGGTCAGGGTTCTTGTCAATTTAATTTGTACCCATAACTGACTCAGGAGGACCAAGAGCCCACTCCACTATGTCCAATGAGCTACAGAATAGACAGCTCTGGATCCCCTAAACATAGACTAGGAAAAGTCGCTCAAGACCAGGCTTTGGACCATCAAGAGCCAGTCAGAACTACTCCAAGGAAGATGAACACTTCCTTGTACTAAGCAATTCAAGTCACTGGTAGCTACCTTTTCTATTCTAACCATTTCCAATGACATACATTTTAAGAAACAAACTCCTCAAACCTCCAATTCTGCTTCAGGCAGTGAGGCTTCCTATCAGTGTAGAAATAGATGTACCAGAGACATGTTAGAAGCACACATCAGAAAGGAGCCTACAGGGAT